TGTTTCTCCTGGGATCTTGCTTGTTGGGTGTTCGATAAGCTTTTGTGATGTAGTTAAGATGGTCGTTTTTGAGGTGGGGAAAATTTTCATTGACTATCTTGTTAAATAGGTGTTGCATTCCCTTGCTCTGGAATTCCTCACCTTCGTCCACTCCGATTATGCGAAGGTTAAATTTTTTAGCATTATCTGCTTGCTCTTGAATTTCCCTTTGGTTTAATTTGAGTGATTTTTCCATATCTGTCACTTTTTGGTCCAGTTGGTGTATTCTGTCTTCTGTATCTGACACTCTACCTTCCATTTCATTCACTCTGTTGACCGTGGCTTCTATTGTGGTTTGCATGGTGGAAATGGATCCCTTTATGGATTCAATGTTGGTTCTCAGAGTACTGATCTCACCTCTCAATGAGGTGAGATCAGTATGCATTACCTCTAATTTGGCGTTTATCTCACTTCTTACTGAGGTTTGTGCAGCTTCTATTTTTGCATCCAATTTTTGTTTGATATCCTGTATATCTTTTGATAGTTCATCCTTGTGCTCTTTCAATTTCTGATCCATTTCTCGCTTTATTTCTTGAGTCATTGCCTCCAGCAACCCTTGGATGTAGTTTTTGTCTTCCATTCCTGCTTTGCTCCCACTGGGGCTCTCCCCTGCGTGGCTGCTGGCTTTTGAGGTGAGCTTGCTGTCCTGGGTAGTGGTAAACCTTGTGATTTTTCTCTGTGATTTTCGCATGGGGGTTCAGGAGACTGCTCTTCAATCTTGTTTTGGTGTGTCTGTCTTTGCTTGGTTGCTGATTCTGTATTGGTAGAGAGAGTCTGTGCCTGATCTGGATTCTGTTGGGAGCCTATTTCCAGCTGCTATTCACTTAGGATTCTCAGCTCTCTGCTGTAGCAATTCCCGCCTTTGGAAGGGTTGAGCAGCCTAGACTGCTTGTGTTTGCTCCTGCGGGTGCTCTTGGGAAGATCAGATGCTCTGGATGCACTCTCCCAAATACTGGAGTCTGCTATGGGCTCCTGATGTGTTTTTGTTTGTTTGTTTTGGGCTGGTTGTGGGCTTGAACTCTAGGTTTGGGTGCTGTCCCTCAGCTCTTCAGCTCAGGGCTGGCACCCTACCATTTGAGCCACAGCCCCACTTCTGACCCTTTTTGCTTTGTTCAGGCACCGGTCCCCTGGCCTGGTTCCGGCCCCAGCCTGGAGCACGCTCGTTAGGCCTGTGCTAATGTGTATACCACCTTGGTTATGCAGCCTGGAGGACACAGTTCAAATTTCTTCTACTGTTGGTAGTCTTGACCCAGGGGCACTGTTCCTGGCTTGAGCATTTAAGCTCCCTTCCAGGGGCGCTCTTGCTCTGGCCTGGCCAGCAGAGTGTGCTCCACCGGCTGGTGGAGCTCTCGAACAGTTCCCAGTTTTAGTGGGTCCTGTGGTCCGGGTGTTGGGGTAGGGAGTCTAGGTCAGGGTCTGGGGATTCCCTCCAGCTCTGGTCTCCCTTGATGGATTCCCTGTCCCCTGATGGGTACTCACCCTGTAGGTCATCAGATGTTGTTGCAGTCCGTCAGTTGCTGTTGCAGTCCGAGTTCAGTTGGGGTGGTTGCGGGCTGGGTTGGGCGGCCCCCCGCCGGGTCGTTGCGATCGCGATTGGGCGGGTGGTCTGCGGACAGGTCCCTTTGTGGCGCTGCTGGTGCCGGGCGGCTTTGGCGGGATGGAGCCTCTCCGCTCCGGTGGAGAGTGATTGGTGGGGTGGGATCCTCCTGGAGACTCCCGGCTGGTAGGTTTCTCTGTTCCTGGCGATCCGCTGTTCTGCAATCCGGTACCTGGTGATCTGCAAGCAGCCCCCTGTGTCTCTGTGGCTCCAGCAGCCCCCGCCAGGCGGGCTGGCCGGCGGCTTGGCGCACTGCCGCGCGGCCAGTAAAGGTTGGGGGAGGGGTCTTCGCTCTTCTCTGTTCTGAAATTCTTCTTTTCCTCTCTTTCTTTTTTTTGTTATTTTCCACCTCTGGTTTTTCTCTGAGTGTTCGTCTTTTTGTTGTTGTCGGTCTCTTGGGGAGATTAAAGGTTGGAACTCGAACTCTCTTTTTGGTTGGAGAGAGCTGTGGCGTTTCCCTACTGCCCCATCGCCATCTTGGTCCCCCCTCCAGTTTATGTTTTTAAATTGGTCAGTACTGAAGTTTCTGTGGTTTGTATGTCTTAACTTTCACTTTAAAATGCACAAAATAAATAAAATAAAAACAAAAAACAACAAAAAAAGGGATTTCAATTCCAACAGTCAGATTATGAGTATATCCCATGAATCAATGTCACCTGATTGGAAGGGAGCCAAACCAGTTCTTCATTGTGTGTGAATACATCTCACCTAGTATGTGTGAGAAGTTAGGCCCAATGCCACAAAAATGGAACATTCACTATGTTCAGTGATACAGGAGTCAAACAAATGAGATAAAGTGGGTGGAGAGAGAGACAGAAGGAAGTGAAAATGGCATGCACTTCACTTGTGTCTTCATTAATTCTTGCAATACCCCCGGAGTTCCTCTATCTGTTTCAAAAGTTGTCTGCTCTGTTTTCCTATAGTTATTTTAAAACTATCACCTGTGACTCCAACTCTTCCCTTTCAGTATCACTTGGCAGTGAAAATGGAAGCCATCAAATGGGGACATTTTCAACTTTTAGCCACCAAACCTAGAAACTGTATAAATTCTTCCCAAGGACACGCTCTACTTGCATGAGATTCCTTATGCTGTTTATAGTGGTGAAACTATTTCTCAGATTAATAGATTTGTTTTCTAAGAACAAAGTTTTACATTAAACATTTATCTGTAGCTAATGGCACCAGTGGTTTTTTTTTTTCTTCTGTCGAAGCTACACAAACCAAATTCCTTATTGACCCCAGATGGGTTTTTATTTTCCTCCTCAAGGCTGGTACTCTGCCATTTGAGCCACATCTCTACTTCTGGGTTTTTGCTGGTGAATTAGAAATAAGTTTCATGGGCTTTTATGCCCAGGTTGACATCAAACTATGTATGATCCTCAGATCTCAGCTTCTTCTTCTTTTTTTTTCCTCTCTCCAGTCGTGGGGCTTGAACTCTGGGCTTGAGCACTGTCCCTGCACTCTTGAGCTCAAGGCAAGCCCTCTACCACTTGAGCCACAGTGCCACTTCTGGTTTTCTGGTGGTTAATTGGAGATAAGAGTCCTACAGACTTTCCTACCTGGGCTGGCTTTGAACTGCGATCCTCAGATCTCAGCCTCCTGAGTAGCTAGGATTACAGGTATGAACCACTGGCTCCTGGCAACCCTAGATTTTTAAAAAACAATTTACTAAGCAGGTACTTTGTTGTTTTCTTGGCCAAACTGAGGACATTTCAATCTTTTTTTTTTTTTTGTCGGTCAAGGGGCCTGAACTTTGGGCCTGGGTGCTGTCCCTCAACTCTTCAGCTCAAGGCTAGCACCCTACCACTTGAGCCTCAGCTCCACTTCCGGCTTTTTTCTGCTTATGTGGTGCTGAGGAATCGAACCCAGGGCCTCATACATGCTAGGCAAGAACTCTACCACTGAGCCAACTTCCCAGCCCTGACATTTCAATCTTAGGTGTCAGTTTGCTGGGATTAAAATCCTGGGCTGTTATTTACTTTGGGAATTACATGAATGTCCCCTACCCCTTCCAGAGTTGTGCTTTGCACAAGTCACTAGGCCCATGTGGCAGTCCAGGGTTGCCCCCATCACTTTCTGACTTTCTGTCAGTTGATGGAAAGCAGTCCATCACTGATTTGGTAAGTGCTAAGAAATTCCTGTCTGGTAACCTCTGGATCAAGCTCTTTGTGTGCCAATGTTGGGGCTTAGACTATGAAGAGGGTCTCTCCAGACAGATTGCAGGCATCTTGAAGGCCATGTATGTTATGTGGAAGTATAGCGATGTGAAAAGGTTTTGAGAGTCCCTAAGCAATTATTCCTCCTCAGAATCTGCCTACTTTGGGTAGGCTAATTCAAGGCTTTTAGACACACCCTGTCCATCTGCCCTGGTGCATGTATAATTTATAAGTCCCTCCTGCAGCATCATGGTCTTCATCATCTCCATCTCCAAAGTTCCCACCACTGTCCTCCACTTATTGAAAACCTCCTGTTGGAGCAGCAGCTATATGTGGTTCACCATTTTTGTCCCTGTGGCATCAACTGTGGTCTCCAGTGATATGGTCTGTGGTCTCAGGGTCACCTCCGGAGAAGCCTCTCCAGATAGTTTCAGGTCACATGGAACAACTTTTATTGATTCAACAAAACTTGCTCCTGTTATGTGTTAAGCACTATGTGAAATGTTTTGGTTACCAGGAAACCAACACTATCCTTACTTTCTTGGGAATTTTGTAGTTTAATAAAAAAGACAAACATTGGGGCTGGGAAGATGGCTTAGTGGTAGAGTGCTTGCCTTGCATGCATGGAGTCCTAGGTTCAATTTCTCAGTACCACATAAACAGAAAAAGCTGGAAGTGGCACTGTGGCTCAGGTGGTAGAGCACTAAGCCTTGAACACAAAGAGGCTCAGGGACAGTGCCCAGACCCTGAGTTCAAGCCCCAGGCCTAGCAATAAAAAAGACCAATATCAACTCTCCATGCTCTAATTTCATCAGTCATTGTTTCTGGCAAATGCTAGTCTGCGGCGAACGCCTTCTCGGCCAGCGAGGAAGAACGACCACCACACCAGGAGTCTTCTCAGATCACACTTTATTGGAGAGCCTTTTAGTTGAAGGGAGAGCTTGAGCGCAAGAGAGCGAGCAAGGAAATGCAGCCGCTTATATAGGGTTTGGAACACGGGTCGCTTCAGGATTGGCTGTCCGCCTTCTACCGTCACCAGGTGCCACGGGATTGGCTCAGGATTTACAATGATGGCGCATGCGCAAAGCTAGGGACCCGCAGCCCCGCCAAGCACTTGCCTAATATGGAGTCATTTACCTCTAAGCTGAAAGGAAGTGGGCGCCATCTTGTAATGGCGTTTGTCCCGGCTCCCTGCACTAGTCTGGTAGCATTCATGAGCTTGTATGCCTAATTTTGCCAGAGTCATATTAAGAACAAGTATCACAAGTGGATGGTCACTTATATAGCTCATACTTGTATTCCTAGCTACTCAAGAAGCTGAAATCTGATTTCATGGTTTGAAGCTAGCTTGGGCAGAAAAGTTTTTGAGACTCTGATCTCCAATTAACCACTTAAAAGCTGGAAGTGAAACTGTGACTCAGGTGCCAAGCAAGAGGGAGAGGGCCAGAGTTCAAGCCTTAACACTGGTGCACACGCATGCATGCATGTACACACACACACACACACACACACACACACACACACACACTCACACACACACACAACAAGTATCACCCAGCATCCAGGTCAAGGAACTGTATGGGGGTTAGAGAGGTTACGCTTTCAAAGAAGAGGCAATAACCAGGGTCCAATGGTTCATGCTTATAATCTTAACTACCCAGGAGGCTGAAAGCTGAGGAAGCCAGTTGAAGCCAACCTAGGCAGGAACATTCAAGAGACTCTCATCTCTGGGTAATGACCTAATAACCTGAAGCATTGCTATAGCTCAAGTAGCAGGGCATTATTCTTAAGCAAAAAAGCTCAGGGACAGCGCCTGATACTCGGACAAACAAAAGGAAAGGGAATAATGTGGGCAAAGAGCCAAGGTAAGAGAAAGCTTGGTGCATCTCAGGAGTGGAGAACTCAGGTTTTCTGTTCCAATTGCTGGGAGCAAAAGGAGAGTGACAATAGATGAGACTGGCTAAGCGGAAGGGTCCAGAGTAGGAAAGATTTTTCTGGCCTTACTGAATCTTTGAGATTTCATAGCAAAAGTAAAGGAGAAGCCACCAAAAGGAATTGTTGAGCATGCTGACTTTTTCCTATGGAGTTGCAGGCTTCAAAGGATTTTTGTGCGTGTGTGCTGGTCCTGGAGCTTGAACTCAGGGCCTTGATGCTGTCCTTGAGTTTTTGTGCTCAAGGCTAGTGTTCTATCACTTTAGCTACAGTTCCACTTCTAGCTTTCTGGTGGTTAAATGGAGATAAGTGTCTTACGAGCTTTCCTTCCCAGGCTAGTTTTTAACTGTAATCCTCAGATCTCAGCTTCCCAAGTAGCTAGTATTATAGGTGTGAACCACTAGTGTCTGGGTGAAGGATTTATTTTTTAGCCTTCTTCTACCATCCTTTGAAATACAGTAACACTGTAAGACTGTAGAATGTACTGTTTCACTTGGGAGTGACTGGGGGATACTTGGAAAGTGCCAGAGGAATAACACACACTGATGGAATTTGAAGATGTTTTGATATAGAAAGGATAGTTGAATATACATGTTTATGCAACTGGACTTTAGAATGCAGACACTGAGAAAGATTTATTTAAATGTTTTCAAGATGGACTTGGAGAAGAGAAAGAAAAAGGGGGGCAATTAAATCAGAGAAGTAGGGCAAGGTTTTGTATATGAAATGGGAGTTAAGCTGCATTCTGGTGGAAATACAGGAATTATCTAGAGCATGGCCAAATGGGGAAGATGCATGAAAGGTGGAGAAAGTTTCAGAGGGAAGAATCAGTCCCAGTGAAAGCATATAACATGAAGGACATTAAGACAGGAAGAACAGGGGCTGGGGAGGTGGCTCAGTGGTAGAGCGCTTGCCTTGCACGCCTGAGGCCCTGCGTTCGATTCCTCAGCACCACATAAGCAAAAAGAAAAAAAAAAGCTGGAAGTGGCGCTGTGGCTTAAGTGGTAGAGCGCTAGCCTTGAGCTGAAGAGCTGAGGGACAGTGCCCAGGCCCAGAGTTCAGGCCCCATGACCGCCCCCCCCCCCCGCAAAAAAAAAAAAACAGGAAGAACAGGGAAGGAGATGAGTCCAACAGGGTAAGACCCTAAAGGGCCTTTTGTGAGAGGTGTGGACTTGAATAATGTATGAAGTACACACCATTTACTAGGCACTGAGGTTGCTTTTTTTCATTTATTGATAACCCCCACATGCCTGGTCCTGACCACAGCTGAAAAATATCCCTGCCCCAATGCTCTTTGAGCATCTGTAAACTGATACTTGCATTCTACCTCACTGTAGGTTGGTGCTGCTCTTGGTCCTCCCAGGATGAGGCAGTCATGGCCAGTCAAATAAAACTCTTCGCCACCTTTGCCCGTGTTCCCATAGATTTTCTTGACTTCAAGGGCATTACAAGGTTATCTAACTTAATCCTCACAATTACTCCATGAGAGAGGCATTATTATTATTCCCATTCCTATTTTATACATGAGAAAACACATCTGTAGATTAGAAATAATGCAAATAAAACACAACTCAGGGCTGGGAAGGTGGCTCAGTGCTAGCGTGCTTGTCTTGCATGCATGAGGCCCTGGGTTCTATTCCTCAGCATCACATAAGCAAAAAGAAAAAAGCTAGAAGTGGCACTGTGGCTCAAGTGGTAGAGCGCTAGCCTTGAGCTGAAGAGCTGAGGACAAGGGACAGCTCCCAGGCCCAGACTTCAGGCCCTACAACCGGACCCCCCAAAAAACAAAAACAAAACAAAACAAAACAAAAAAAAAACACAACTCAAAGTGCCTGAACTGGTGAAGCAATGAGTTATAGACTGAAGAAATATCTGACTAGAAATACTGAAGACTATCAAGACCAACTCAGAGAAAAGAAGACTTAATAAAATAATCCTCAAACTTGCACCTCATAAGTTTGTAAATACATTTATAAAAATTGATCGAAGAATAAAGTTTTCTTGCCAACATTTACATCTGGCAAAAAATGACCCACAGAAAGTGAACTCTGAAATAAAATGAAATGTTAAGAATGGGAGAAGGAAGCTTATAAAACATAACACAGGAAAGCTAATTGACAAAATTTTACTACAATATTCAGAAAAAAGTGTTTATTCTAACAAAACAATTCCATAATGCACAAAATAGATGCTTAAAATTTATAAAGCATTTAATTGTGTTCTATTTAACATTGACTATGGATTGAAATTGGCTTAAGGTCATTTACCCTAGAAGAATGAAATACATGCATATATTTCCAGATAATGTTAGTATTTTTGATAAACACATTGGAATTCATGAACAATACACTGGTTCCATTTCTTGGGGGAAAAAACACTCCTTTCTTGACTTCTGTTGCCATAGAGGGAGAAGGAGGTCATTTTAGAGGATGAGAGAGGGCATGGGCAGGTTTCAGCTGCAGGTATTTGAGGAGAAGAAGCATGGGAAGCCAGGAGTTTCAACACTTAAGAAAGCTTCATGAAAGCTCTTATTTGCAAACTAGAGCCATGAGTCTGGGCCATGTCTCCACTGGCACCCACAGCTCTCTCTAATTGATAGTGGTTACTAGAGATCAGTGACTCCTCAACTTCAGTTGATGATTAGGGTGAGCGAGTCCTTTCAAAATGACAAGTGACAGCTGTTAGAAATATGCCTTTTCCAAATTTTCCACCTTGAGAAGGATGTTTAGAGATAGTAGCTTCTCAAGGGGCATGTGAGATACCGAGTTTCTTGATGTAGTCCTAATTTTTCTTGGCCATGTCACCTATAGAAGATTATTTTAAAATCTCCTATAGGTATCCCAAGTATTGTTAAAAGTTTATAGACTGTATATTTAATATAGTCATTAGATATGAAAATTGCAAAAAATAGCAAGCCAAAGCCATTAGTTTCCAGTAGTACTTACATATTACTTAAAACAAACATGAAATACTCTGTTTCATTTTGTGTTCAAGTTGATAACTTCCATATAGTATTTTTTCAATTTTATATTTGTTTATGAAGGTTGTTTATGAAGAATGTTAAACTACCAAAATGGGTTGAAATATGAAGCACACTTCTTTGGAAAACTATGTCCATAGAGTATGATGCTTTTAGAAGACACTCGTTAATTTATTCTTTGCTTTAAGAGACTGGTCTGGACGCTTACTGTACAAGAGTCTGGGCTAGGTGCTATGTGGATGGATGTGAAAGGGCACAATCCTGCTCTTGAGGAAATTACAGAGTTGTAGGGCTTTTCAAGATACCCTATAATAAGTGAGCTAGCAGTGATTTCTAGTGGAAAGCATAGCAAATACTTTTTGCATTGAGTGTTAGTTTAGTCGTCTTTGCAAAAGCTTCTTTCTTTTCATAATAAGCAGCCTCATTCACAAATACAGGGTACACAGTACAGTCTCCACCCAGTGGAATAGTCTTTCCATCAATAGTCACAAACACAGGATCTCCAGGGTGCAATGGTTTCCAGTCTTGATCCTCTCAGGAGAAATTAAGATAAATTACCTTTGGCTTTCTTCCTACTTAAAAATTTTCTGTCAGACTCCATTACAAAGCTAGCATATAGCTATGTATCCTCATATTACATGTGATGTTAGCTGGAACGTTTTGCACCATGATTTGGCCATTGTACACCAATGTCATAAGACCACAGGATTTCCAGAACAATTGTTCTCCTACTTGGGTGCATGCAAATCGCCTGGAAGATTAAAATGCAGATTCTGACTCTATAGATAGTCGGGGTAGTGCCTGAGATTTTGTATTTCTAGCATTTCCCAAGAGCATCAGCATTCGCCTTACCTGAGAGTTTGTTAACAAAGCAGAATTACAATTCCCACTGCTGACATACTAAATAATATTCTTCATATGAAAAATCTGTCAGCAATTCATATGCAGAATAGGAACATAGAAGAAGAAATGTGGAGCTGGGAATGTCACTCAGTGGTAGAGTGCTTGCCCTGCATGCATAAGGCCCTGGATTCGATTCCTCAGCACCTCAGAAGCCGCAAAAGCCAGAAGTGGTGCTATGACTCAAGTGGTAGAGTGCTAGCCTTGAGCTAAAGAGCTGAGGGACAGCGCCCAGGCCCAGAGTTCAGGCCCCAGACCAAAAAAAAAAAAAAAAAAAAAAAGAAAAGAAAAAGAATTGCATCACAGGGATTTTCTCAACCATAGTTGCACATGATAATGCCTTGGGATATTAATATGCCCTAACATGGATTACAGGGTCTGACCTAATCTCATCAAATTAGAATTAAAAGAGTGACTTGAAGTTGGGACCTGGTGACTCATACCTATAATCCTAGCTACTCAGGAGGCTGAGATCTGAACATCAAAGTTCAAAGCCAGAGCCAACAAGAAAGTCCTTGAGAGTCTTATCCACTTAACCACTAAATAAAACTGGAAATGGAGCAGTGAGTTAGTGGAAGAGTGCCAGACTTGAATGGAGAAAGCTAAGGGACAATGGTCAGGCTCAGTATAGTACAACAGAAAAAAAGAGAATGATGTGATTTTTTAATAATTAAATTGTAATAGTTTTAATGTATTGATTTAAATAAAATTGACATTTAGTAAATTCTTAAATAAAAATTTATTTTAAGATATTGTATAGACTTCTTTATGGATTTATCTGTGCTTTCTTTCATTTCTTCAAAAAATGGATTTCAAAATTTTTCATTGAGCAAAATCCACTTGTTTTTGTGTGTAGTCCTATATGCAATCAGTATAAATAATTAAGCTGGACATGGTGGTGCATGTCAGTAATCTCACATGCTTGGGAGGTAGAAGCAGAAGGATCCTGTCTTGCCATAGTTATTGAAAGCCTATCTTTAAAACAGCAAAGCATATTGGTGTTACTTTTCAAATAAATGAACAGAAATGTTTTTAGAAATGCATAACTGACAATGGCCCATGTACATGGAAAAATATAGTATCTACAAAAGCACAGGGTCTAGTTTTATATCTATGTATAAATTTTCAATGTGCCTAATAATTTTAGACTGCTGTGAGTGGCAGATGAAAATAATAAAATATCAGGTGTATAAAAACAACAACAACAAAACAATGGAGCCAGGAACATGGCTCAAGTGGTAGAGAGCTTGTCTAGTATGTATAAGGACCTGTGTTCAATTTCCAGTACTGTAGAAAAAACAAAACAATGTACCTAAAACATCATTTCATAGAGATCTGTCAAAAAAGAGATAATTTCACTTCATGTTGCTCATTTATATTTAATATCTAATTTTTTTGTAAGTCTTAGGAATTGAGAAGGTTGGTATGGCCTGTAGAACCACTGGACCAGTGGTTTTCAGCCAGAGGTGTGCCTAGGACCCATGGAGGAAGGTTCCATACGCATATGGCTAGTTCCATTTGCAGAGACTCATAGTGCAGTGCTGCCTAGAAGTGAACATACCAACATTACTAGATGACTTCATTTGATTCCCTGTCTCTGCTTTGATTAATCAAATCAGAATTGCTGGGGATGGAACCTGGGAACCAGGTTTTTTTGTGCCATTACTGAGACTTGAATCCAAGGTTTTATGCTCTCACCTGGCTCTTTCGCTCAAGGCTGGCTCTCTACCACCTGAGCCACACTGTTGTTTTGGGATTTTTGCTTGTTAATTGGAAATGAATCTCACAGACTTTCTGCTCCGGCTGGGTTTGAACTTCAATCCTCAGATCTCAGCCTCCTGAGTAATGGATTACAGGTGTGAGCCACTGGTGCCCGGCTATTTTCAGTTTTACAAAAGTAGCAAATATTACCTGCAGATTTGGGTGGATGAGGGCAGCAATCTCTCCACTTTCATTCCTGGGATAATCGACCTTGTCCATTATTTTATATACCTCAACAGAACACGGAGGAAATTCTTTTCCTATGGAAAAAATGTATTATTAGCAACTTAAAAAGTACCCTATAGCTGGGTGCTTAAGGCTCACATCTATAACCCTGGCTACTTAGGAGGCTGATATTTGAGGAATTGCAGTTCAAAGCCAGCCTTGGCAAGGAAGTACATGAGACTCATATCTCCAATTAATCACTAAAATAGACAGAAGTGGAGCTGTGGCACAAGTGAGAGAGCTCTAGATGAGTAAAAAAAGTTCAGGACTGTGCTCAGGCCCTGAGTTCAAGTCCCAGACCAACACATGCACGTGTCCTGTGTGTGTGCGCGCACACACGTGCGCACACACACACACACACACACACATACACACAGAATACTCCTAGAAAGGAAATAGATACTTTAAAGAAGAACAGCAACAAAACCACAAAGATAGATAATAGGAGAATACAACAGGTTTATTTAAATATGTTTCATAAATAAGAAACGAAAAGATGTTCTGGAATTATTCCTCTCAGAACTCTTTCCAGAAATGAACTGATGGACAAAATAGAATTGGAAAAGCCAGTGTGGGAGCTAAAACACTAGGATTGTGAGTCAGGACTTCTGGACTTTATTCTCTTGTCTGTATCACCTTTTCCTCCCATTGCTGTGTAATCTCTAGATGTTCTAGTGGCTTGCTTTCATGTCTTGACTGATGAAGGTTTAGGTTTGCTTCTCTCAGAAGTTCTTCCATGAATGCCAGTCAGCTAGGGCTTCTGCCTAGTGGTTCTGTGTGTTCAGTACACTAGGCATTTGGCTAGTTTGTGAACAGCTTGTTCTCAGAATACAGTACTGCCTGGCAGGGGAGTTTAACTTACAAAAAAAAAAAAAAAAACCATGGCAAATGTCCAGCTCATGTTCTGGACTGGCTTTGCTAATTTCTGACTGCCTTGCTTATGGATTTAGGGTAAGCTGTCAGGCAGCTAAAAGCTGTGTTATGAGATGGCCTCACCCGTATGTCTGGCATCTGGTATGTATGAGTTTTCCATTGTATGAGTTTTCCATTGTAGGACCTTTCCTTATTCAGCAGGCTCTTGTGGATTGACTTAAATCATGATGGTATAGGTTTGGGAGAGCAGTAAGAGAGCAAGTCACAGGTGCAAGTCTTTTGCAAGCCTATTCAGTGGCATAAAAGTCAGATTCAAGGGATAGAGAAGAACTGCTGGGTTTTTGCAGAGACTGAAAGCGGGCTGTTGGAGTTACCACTACTAATGCCTATGGGAGCATACTATGGACTGTGATTTTTAAACTATGTCTAATTGTGGCCTTCTGGGTGGATGTCATTTCTTATCGTATCATTGTAGATCCACATTGTTTGAGGATGCTGTATGTGTATGTGGTGACTGTCCCAATCCTGGTTTCAATATACAGGACAGAACCTGTCCCTAGACTTGGAAGGCAATAGCTGATGTTCAGTTTCTATGACTACGTACCAAAGACTGCCAACCACAGAAGATCCTGTGCTCACAGGGGCTGCACATCTAAAGTTTAGCAATTACATTCTCTCCAGGCACCAGACTCCACACTAGCACTGTTGCTGCAATGACTTCTTAATGAAATGCTACAACTCAGCCTATTGCTCTTATGTGATGTTGTTACAATTGAAAAGTAAACTTTTCTTATAATTAATAGACTCTATAGTGTGCTTTTTTTAGATATACTGAATAAATAAGAGTTCCAAACACCAACTTCTCTACCAGTCTCTATTTACTTGTTAATTATAGAAATATTCAACAAGAATAATGTATTAATGATAATACAATACATGATTATATTAGTCTTGTTGAATAACAGAGTGAGCCTTGTTTATTCCTCTCTTCCTTAGACATTACTGTAATCTGTTGGTGTGTTCAAAAATTTATTGTATATTTTAGCATATATGTATATGTATTCTAGTAAGTGATTATGTATGTATACATATATGTATGTATGCACGTATTTGTTTTTAAGACAAGTTTTTACTATATAGCCCAGCTAGCCTCAAACTTCTATGTAGTCCAAGCTGGCCTTGAACTCTGTGTCCTCTTGCCTCAGCCTCCCAGAACTGGGATTATTTACATATGCCACCATGCCCAGTTTAGTAGTATTATTTTAAAGCAAATCAACATACTATATTCTGTGGCCTGCAATTTGTTTTCTTTTAATTATAATGTGTTTTGAATATTATTCCACATTAGTTTATTATAAATTTTAATACCTAATGGACATTTGAGTTATTTTCATTGTTGTACTGTTATGAACAGAGTTGTAATAACCACTCAGTGTATATTTGGGTATACATATACTTGTGAAACTTCTGGGTCCCACTTGTGCATCTTAATTAGTAAATACTATAAAATTGACCTGTAAAGGGTCTTTTATTTATTTTATTTCTCCAGCAGGTAGCAGGTAATGAGAGTAACTTATCATTGGATTTTAATATTTTCCCAATGTAATAAAGAAAAATGTTATTTTAATTTACATTCCTCTGGTTATTTACAATGTTGAAAATTTCTTCTTATGTTTATTGGACAGTTGTATTTCCTAGTCTTTTTGTGCTTTTTTATTTTTATTTTTTAAATTTAAATTTTAATTTTTTGTGAACTTACTGTACAGATTTTTGTGCTTTTTAAAATGACAAGTTATAAGGAAACTTGACTCTGGGTAGCTGCTCTACTTAAATATCCTACGGTCACTGAAGAATTTCTGAAGTAGAGAAGATTTAAGAAGAGAAGAAGGAGAGAATACAGTCATGAATCCAATGTATTTCCTACAAAATTAAGAAAACTGAGAGAAGAGGTGGGTAGGGGAGGGATGAGTGAAAATATTGACATTGATCAAAATATACTGTACTTATTTGTACAATTACTTAAAGACAATAAAAAAGTAAATGTGTCTTATGTAGCACATAAAAAAGCATTTAAGAGCCAGGTTAGGTAGCATATACTTCTAATCTCAGGTCTTGGGAGACTGAGGCGGGAGGATCATAAGTTTGAGGCTAGATGGGCTACATGGTGACACCTTGTTTCAAAAAATAATCTAAGACAAATTTGACCTAGATTCCAATTCCCATTTCAGTGTTTATTAAGTTACACACTCATATATACACACATTCTGATGGCCAAGTGATGTTCAAATACACATCAAGAAAATGATTCTCATTCACCACATACCTTCATTAAAATTGCATATAAAATCAAGAGCATGTTTAATCATTTTTCTCATTTGATCCAAAATATCAGCTCTCAGAACACCTTGAGGCTGGGGACCAACTTCTATACCTAGGTACAGTAAGTGATATAATCAAGTATTAGAACATTCTGTAAACTGGAACATTTTATTTTATTTATTTTTTCTCTTTTGTGTTGTCAGAGTGATGTACGGGGGGCTACAGTTATATAACTAAGGTAATAAATACATTTCTTGTCAAACTTGTTACCCCTTTCTTCATTTTCCTCCTACTTTGCCTCTCCCCCTTCCCCAAGTGGAACATTTTAATATATAAAGATCTAGAATCTCATTGTTAAACACTTTTTCAACGGTAAAACATTTAGTATTATAGAAAATATTTGAAATATAGTGTTAGACAATAAAGGAACATTTATATATTCAAATAACACAAATAGCAAATAAAGACTAGGAGAGAATATAGAAAAAACATAGAATTGTGTTTAACTGTGAAGAATTCAGAGACACTTTTTAAAAAAATTTTCCTTCAATATTGTCAAAATATCAAAAGTTCATAATATAGTAAAAGAGGTAAACAAAGTTAGGTTGAAAAAGTTAATAGGTGACCACAAAGACAACTGACCAAGACCTAACACTTAGTTTGACAGGAGGAAGGACATCTATTTAGTCTTTGAAATCTAGCTAGATGAGCCACAGTCATGAATTTTGACATGATAAGTGATCTTGAAGCGATTTTTTTGTCCTTAATATAATTCATCCTGATAATATAGTACAACTAATTTAATTTTCTGTAGAAAAAAGTAGTTGTTTAATCTATCTCCAATAAAACGAGTCTGTATTATCAAGTCTATTTCCCATGGTTGTTAAACATGCATCTTTACATCTACAAAACATTCTCTCTCAACCATTTGTCTTGTTCCTTTCCTATTAAAGTCTCCCACAAAGTCAGTGCTCCAATCATTACCTTTTTTTTAAATTGTGCCTATATTGGTGCTTGAACTCAGGGCTTAGCTGCTCTCCATTAGCTTTTTTTTTCTTAGCTTAAAATTTTTTTTTATTGTAAAGATATTGTACAGAGGGGTTACAGTTACATGAGTAGGGCAATGAGTACATTTCCTTTTGAGCATTGTTACTCCCTCCTTTGTTTTTCCCCTACCATCCCTTCCCTCCCCACCTCCCCAACTCCTCCCTTACCCTCCCCAAAATTGTCAAGTTCCTTTTCAACATAGTGTCTTGTACATCTCATTGTTACAATGGACCAACCTGTATCCTTGTTTCAGCATTTTGTTATTTCCCTTTCCCTCACCAAGTTAGAAAAATTTATATACAAGATGCAGGGCACCAGAACCAAATACAGTGAAAACAGGGGTTATACCATTGGGGAAGAATATACAAAAGAAAAAAAATCATAGTACATTGTAAGTACATTAAAAACAACAGCAACAAGGATAAAACCTCTTGTGTTCCTATCTTGGGGTTCATTTCACTTAGCATCATCTTAAATGGTTATATGTGCATAGCTTTTGAGCCTTTCTACTTGT